GTCGTGTCCGATAGCCCGGGGCTAGAGGATTTTGCTATTGGGCTAGTGATTTTTGTTCTTAACTTGCCCAACGGGCAAGTGCTGTTGTTGGGGGAAATTCATATTACAGAAGGATTGTAATCAATCCTGTTAATCAAAAAGGGTTTTGGGGCTAGTTGAAATGACTCGTGGGCTAGTGCATGCTAGCTAGAACTTGCCCGAATGGCAGGCTGTAAAACTGACTTTCTTCGCACCCTGATGTTGCATCAGAGGGTGGAGGAAGGGTTAAGAGGGGAGGGTTAAAATACTGTACCCCAGCCAGTGATAAAGACACAATGAAAGCGATAATGATACCGGATATGACATTTCCAGTTCCCACAGGCATTCACATGCAGTTTTCCTGACAAGCAAGTTGAAAGGATTATTGACCTGTTTAAACAGAAATTAAAAAGACCATGACCATACATGTAACTATTACAAATTGTCCAGACAGATTGTCTATTTCAGCATGACAAATCTCAATGCTTAGGAAGAACGACAAAAATGTTGTGGTTTTCTATTCTATTTCATAAAATACTTAGGGAAATTACAGCAAAATTTTTCCAAACAATTTTCTTCTTACCATTTCTATGATGTCTGTAAGAACTCCTGCAAAATCCACAAAAACATCTTGACTAGCTTCCTGTCATTTGAAGCAATAATTATTGTCACGGCAGTTGTAAATTAGTTTCAAACATCAATATAACTCTTATAAGAATATATAAAAGTAGAGTTGACACTCTTTTAGGGGAAATTCACCACTAGCATATTATGTTCAACTTACCACGGTTTCTGAAGATATCAGGATCACGGTGCCTGTTACAAGAATCTAAAAACAAAACCAATATTCCAGAAACTTTCAGTAAAGCTCAATGAAATTCAGTCTAAGTTAAACTAGAGACAATGCTGGCCAAAAGGAGGCACTTTTATAGCTTTGCCGGGGCCGATGGGTTTTTATAGTTCTCTGTTGAGGTCAGACCATTAAGTTTCCATTGCTACTCACTGCACATACTTCTAGTGATCTACTCTCCAATTTTATTATGCTTGGTTTCACTGGTCAACAGTGTGATGATGCCTGGTTCTAGTCTTCTCATATCAGGATGAAAAACCGCAGGCATCTCACAGCTCTTTCACTGTTCTGATTCTTGTGGAACATAAAAGAACCCACACTGCAGTTCATAAAGAGTAGGGGGCGTAGAGCCTGGTTTTGTGGTGCAACCTTTCATGGGCTGAGTGGGTAATGAAGGGGTTGATATCAATTGGGACATTTGTCCTGTTTCATTCCCTGTCACAGTGTTGAGTCACTATGATGAATTCAATAAAGTAACATAAATTTATGCCCAGCAATAGGCGAATCATTGTTTACATTTTTTACCTCATTAACATACGCTCATCATTAACTGATGAAGCTAATAAAAAAAATTCTGAATATTGAAAGAGCATAACAATTTCAGCTATCTCTGAAATTTGAGCCCAATAAACCAAATGGTTTCAGAGAAATTCCCTTTTAAAAACTCAAAAACTTAAAAAGAATGTATGGTTCATTAACTTTTTTGCCACTCAGCAATTTTGCAGTTTTCGATGGCTGATATTTCCTGAAATATTGCTTGTATAGAGCTGAAAATTGCAAATTACTCAAGTTAATCAGTTCTTTCAACTTTTGAATTTAGTTTGTATCTATGGCCCTGGCCTCTATGAATTAAGTCATATGCTAATGAGATAAAATGTAAACAATGAGGTCAGCAAAGATTCACCTCCACACTACTGTCTATGTAAGAGCTTCTTCAAATCAGTTTCAACATTTTACCTGGCTGAGAAAAATTTGAGATAAATGCCCAGGGGAATGGGCAAACAAATCCTTCTTAGAGCCTGTTGCTTGTTCCACCCTGAAACCATCAGACACCACACAAATAATGTAAGAATAGCAAGCAAAAAGTTGCAGATTTTTGAAATTTTTCCAATCTAAACTACAATTTAATATTTTTCATTCACTGCTAACAAACAAATTACTATGACTGATACTAGCAATAATATCAAGTTTCATAATATTCACCTTGGAATATTTGAAGACGGAAACTTTGATGTCTGCATTGGGAGATAACATACATTTCTTTCATGAGGATGATGTTGAATACTTTTAATGTAAGAACATTGCAGAAGCTACATCTTTTACCAAAATACCAAGAGGGAACTTGGTAAAATTATTACCTTTTTTTATTATTATTTTTTTTCTAATTATTAACTTTTCACAATAACAGACATTTCACATACCTGACCTAGGTAAAAATCAATCATGTTTTTAAAGGGAATGGTAAACATTTCCTTCAGTGAGCCAACTGCACATTCTACACTGCAATTTGATTGAGAAGCAGATAGCAAATAACTTAAGATGCTACAACCTTTCACCAACAAAAAACAACAGATCTAGAATGAGATGTAGACTATTCAATTCATTTTTGATTAGAAGAATGTTTACATGTAACATTGTTATTTTAATTAGTACATGTATAGACCAAAGCAGTGAATATTGCTTTTTGCAAACTCTGATTGGCTAGCTGGGAGGTAATTACCCTGTGCTATTTACTGGTCTTTTATGACTTGAGTTGTGAACTAGAGGTGAGGGAAAATGACTCATATTTAAATTTTATGCTTTAGAAAACCAGGCTTACTTGTAGCCAAAACAGGGCTAACTCACCCTCCTTAGTGACTTAAGCTGTACAAGCAAATTATCTTTTTTTACAATAAAAGGCACAAGGGTCATGTGGGTCTTACATTGGTCATGTTTGCAAGAAAATATAGTTCCAGGAGTGATGTGATTTATTTTTAAAAAAATGCATTACCTCACTGATTCTAGGAAAAGACTTGAAGCCTGCATAACAAAACAGCTAAAAATTAACTCTGACAATCAGCTGAACAAGACACTTGGCATCTGCAGCAGGTTCAAAAAGAGGATGATGAAAACAACTTATTGATCTTTTAAAAGATCTAAATGCATTGGTTTAAAACAAACTGACCAAAAGAATAAAAGAATCATATAATATTTTAAAACCTGCAGCATTTAATTTCAAATACACCTTCTTATAAATTCTTTGATATGACACAGTTTGCAATGAAGAGAACATACATAATTTCATAAGTGACAAATTACTCCTTAATTTTGGCCCCAAATCTCGGCATTAATTTATAATTTCAAATGTGAAATTATAAATTGACATGGCAAGTTATAAAATGTCATGGAGGAAGATATCAGGGCACTAGTTAAAACGCTTTACAAAACCAAAACACTTGAAAGAGCACATCAAGAAGGATTCTATCAGGTATTTTGTTGAAAAATTCTGAAAACTATAAACTTAAGCCAAATTTTAAGCTCTAAAATGATCACTGTGAGGAGTTCTAAATCGATAATCAATTCAAAGAACAATGTCAAAAACCTATGATTGTGTGCGTAATTTGTCACCCACGAAATTAATAGGTAATCAAATGGTCTGATATACTTAGAAATTAAGGAATAATTTCACTATTTGATTCACATAACTAATATCACCTATATACTATACAGTTATTAATTTGTTGTGCAGGGTTGTACCCCTGTTCAGAACACAAACAACCGTTATTTTAATATTGTTCAGTTAAAGACAAGTTTAGTTAAGCTTTTTTTTTATAATGAGCTGTGAAAGTTTCACTCTTGTATGGTATTGTATGGTAAAACGACTTCACTATTCAGTCCAATCATAAATGATAATGTATCATTACTGTCAAGTCTCACACATTGTAGTTCATACCTTTTCTTGAATGAGGAATAATAACTGGAGCTTCAAATTCTCGGGAAGGTTCTCATGACAAAGAACCTACCAAATATATATAAAAAAATACAATGCAATATTACAATATGATTTTCAAAAGGCAAGTATTGTTTAATTTTTATAGTACCCAAGTGTATAAAAGGTGTTTTTTAAGAGCCTCAGAGCTCTCTTACTTATAAATAATGTTGTCATAGTCTTACACCAAGCTCCCCAATTATTGGAAGTGCAAATGTTAATTTTTACGTAATGCATCATTCAATTCCAACTGCACCCATCCCCCACTAGTAACTGTGGGGCATTTGTGGGGGTGGGGCATCAGCAAATTAGGGAGGGGGAGGGTGGCATGGGTGCAGCTGGAATTGTTTGACAATAAGATTTTAGCCAAAACACCAGCTACCTGAACTTCAATTCCTGTCACTTATTTCCAGATTTCAGGGGGCTGGTTTTTCCGCTGAAGCCTTCTGAATAGGGGATATTGACCAAGATAGGGGTAGCATGAGGCGGAATCTTTACAACTCACCGCACCCAACTCAGATCAAAGTGATTGTAAAAAGTGAAACGAAAGCAGAAGTCTAAACCAAGTATCAACTAGCGGTCTTCTATCTTAATCTCGAAAAATTGTCAAAACGTACCTCAATAATGTCCAATACGAAACTGTGAGCGGTGATTTTTCTAGCGGCAAGAAATTTCTCCGGAGAGCGACTAAATTCTTCAAGGTTTTTAGTCCAGTGGCTTACAACAGAGTTCATTTTTACCCAGTCTTTAACTGCACTTAAAATAGTCAAACTACAGTTTCTCTTTGGGATGATCAATTCCAACCTTTACCCGATATCTTTTTCTTGAAGGATAAAATCCCGTGATGGCCGCCATATTGTTGTTTTGGAAAAGGAACTGGGGAGAAGGTACAACTGGAAGATAGAATAGTAATGTTGGGGAGGAGAAGGCATTCAAAACTGGAAGGACTTAAAAGAAAAAAGAGAAGCTTAGAACAGCTCTTGCGTCATTTTACAGAAACAGAGGTATTTAATATTTATGCATGTTTTTTTGCTAACTCAATGAGAATAGAATAAAATCATTTGAGATATTCAAAACGAAAACATTTATCCTTGCCCTCCCTTCCCCTCAAAAACAAAATCTCCCGACTTGACTCTCCGCTGACCGCATTGTTTGAGGCGGGACAGGAAACGTCATTCAGCAAGCAACAGCAGCATTCAACAATTTTCTTTTTCCCGTCCCTGCTTTTTTTGTAGGGCAGATATGGAGCTTGAGTTATTGCCTGATTTTAAGGCGTTTTATTTCAGAAACGAGAATGTTATTTTGAGAGTACCATTTTGCTTCTGTCTGCAATTGGCAGTGTATTTTGACAAGCATGTGAAGGAGTCTGGCGAAGAGACAAAAATTTGGTATGAGATAGCTGGTATGTACATGTATGATCTTTGACACGGAGCCTGTAAATAACGTGATTTCCTTTCGCTTCGAAATTTTCTTTATTTTCTATGACATTGTGCAAGTTATTCATTTAAGACTGTATGTAGACAAATTTATGTTAGCACTGTTTAATTTGAATTTTTGACGTCTGTGCAGAGGCATGAATTTCCTGTCTGGATAGATATCAGCTTACGTCTTGTAGAGCCTCGCTGCCTAAAAGCTCTCTTTTATTTTTAGTTAGATATGTAAGGTCATGATTTTTGTTTTTAAGAAGTGTTTCATTTTTCCAAAAGTTTCCTTCGGACACTTTAGGTGCACTTTAAATATGGCAAATTTTAACTGAAGTATCAACACACAGGCATCCCAGTCTCTATGGGAATTCATTAAATCTCCATTCGTAACAAAATGTGTAGGAAGAATTACAATATTTCCTAAGTTCTGACTTTTGAAAAAGATCAAAATTTGATGTAAAAAAAAGTAATGAATGAAATTAGTGTTGGTGTGCTAAAATTTCTCATGGCACTATAGATGTTGCAGGTCAAAATTAAATTCAGGTTAAAATTTTTTAACTAGGTAGATTCTCAGTTTCCTTTGTCTCCTGGTCCTAATTCATGAATAATTAAGGCTATGAGACAAGGGAAATTGAGAATCAACCTACAATACTCGTCAAAAACCTTGAAACACTTGTGTCTGTTTCCCCTTCCCCAATGTTGATTTCGGTATCACAGTGGTCACAGTGCTTCAAAATACACGTGGCTCAACATTGGGAGGGGGTAAGGCACATTTCAGTGAGAAAAACAGTGTGAAGAGTAAATCTCAGGATTTTTCCAGAAAATTAGAGAGAAACGGTGTCTGTTTCAACGATTTGTGACGAGTATTGTAGGTTAAAAAGTGTTAACCTGAATTTTGACCTGTAACATAGACAAGTAAAAAAATTCCTAAACTGGCTAGGGAAACTTCTTTGGTTATTTACATGTACCTTGCTAGAGGAAGGGTGTCAACTTAAGAGGCAAGTCGCAGCAACAACCAATGTCCGTGGAACAAAAAACAACTAAAAGCCAAGTGCCTGAATTGTGGAAGTAATATTCCATGATCATGTTCCACATTCAAGAGAATGGCCTGTATAGGTTTTCAAAAAAATTCCAAAAATACCAAACCAAAATATTCAGTAAATATTCAGGAAATCTTTCTGGTGTTTACGATTTTCATAGTTCTACTGAAATGATTTATTTGTTTTTCTTGCAGCCATTGTTAGTGGCCTGGTTGGTGCCACTGGATTGCTTACAAGTCTCAGCTACCTTCAAAAATTTTTTGTCTGGTTTATTGAACAAGTTGTCATTGTTATAGCCTTCTTTGCAATTGCTACGTACTCTCCACCATATCCAAAGAAAGAGGAAGCTGACACAAAGGAAAGTTCTAACCTTGACAATTCATCTTATCTGGGAACCATTTATGGCTCTTCACTTTTATATACCCAAGTCTTGATTGCTGTCAGTATAGCCATTGCACCTGGCAAGTGGGTCAATACAGTAAACACCAAGCAGACAGTGGGAATGTTTGTTGTCTGTCCCATCATTATCCATTTTGTGACACTACCATTTGTTAAAGCGACAGCAATGTTGCGAGAGGTCTGTTTGGCTTACCTTTTGTTGGCCTCGGTAATCCAAGGTTATAAAGCCTGTCTTGGACTTTTTCAACTTGTTCAAGATATTCCAGGGGTGATTAAAAATGCTTGCAGTGTTGTTGTCAACTTTGGATGGTTGGATTTTTTTGTTTACCATTGGAAGAGAATTAACTTAGGAAGAGTGCTCATGTTAGCATGGTTGATTAAGTTTATTGGCAAATTTTGTCAATTTGTGAAATATGGTGTATTTATTGCCATTGCTGGAAGCATAGTGGACTGTTTTGATAACCTTCAAGACTTAGCAGGAGCTAGTATTGTTGTTGGAGTAGCTGCTAATTTAGCCCTTGATGCAGTGAACAAAATCCTGAAAGGCAATCTTGACAGGCCTATGGAAGAGCGTCACCAGGAAGCATGGAATGACAGTGTATCTTTCTTCCTTTTGGGTTTACAAGTTGGGCTTATTGGCTTACCCAAACCAGAACGTCTAATGTTAATTGGTCTCATTGTGTTTGTTACAATCTCACTGTTTCTGCAGTCTGCTTATGAACTTACTGAACCAGTGCTTATGTCACTAGGGGCAACATACACTGGTGTTTTCAACAGCAAACATTTGCGCACTTTAGCAGTTTGTGCCATGGTCCTACTACTTCCTGGTTATATGGTTATTGTGTTGTGTAAGCTATTCAGCTTTGATGCCTGGTTATTTGTGATCTTATCCAGTAATCTAGTGACTATTGTTCAAGTCATGGGTTCCCTCATTATTTATGCACTCTTTGTGTCAAATGTTCATTCAGAGTCTCAAGTTAAGGATTTGGATGACTATGTGTATTATATCAATGCTGGCTCAAAAATATTTGAGTTTCTTGTAGCTGTGGTTGTTTTAGGTTATACTGCTTGGGCAACCATAACTGGAGAGTGGAATTACATAGGTATGTCTAGTGAACAGCTTTTTAGTGTTACATGTATGTACTGTATACCCTGCGAAAAAAGATCATGTCATTTTATACCCAATTCATGCATATTGTACCTGCAAGTAGTTGAGATGTGCTTTGGATCATGCCTTTGTCCACATTTTATGGTAATTTTGTAAGAGAAATCATAAATTACTTTGTATAATATATATTTTTATACTTACACAATGTATCATCATTACCACCATCATTTTCCTCCAGTTTTACCCATGTTCTTATTTGCCTCCTTTAGGCGCTTTGGTTATTACAATGCATGCCTACTTCAATGTGTACAAAAGAGCTCAAGAAGGATGGAACAATTTTCTGTTAAGACGCAGTGCTGTGAAAAGACTTAACTCCTTAGAGTGGGCAACAGAGGAACAACTTCAACAGCTAAATGATGTATGTTGCATTTGTTATGAAGAGCTGGATAGTGCCAAAGTAACCAGATGTAAGCATTTTTTCCACAGTCTGTGTCTGCGGAAGTGGCTTTACGTACAGGACAAGTGCCCTATGTGCCATGCTGATATTCTACCTCAGGATTGACTATTGCCAATCCTGCAGCGAATGGCAGCAGTTGGTTAAACAACAAACAGCAGCTAAAATGTATTTTATGGAAATTTTGTTTACCAGGGAAATAAATTGAATCTAAAAATTAATGTGGGCTTTATATTTCATTTTTTGGTGGTGAATCTTTTGGATGTGAGAAAAGTCGTGTACTGTGCATCCTACCCACATCCGTTTGTCATATCACATCATCTCAAAAAGGGGCTTTGGAGACTAGATGGCAGCAAGTGACATGTCAGAGAACCATTCTCCATGATACTTCAATGCAGCATTTAAATTAATGTTTTATAAACCAGTGGAATTGTATGCATTTTCTGCATCCCACTGATAAATGGTTGTGACAGTTAGATTATTTTCTGTAGCAATAATCATTTATAGTCTGTCCTCTTTCAATATTACAATAACTTGAGCTGCTTGCAATGCTGCAGTAATTTTCTTGGATTCAGTTTCCTAAGTTTTAAATTATTTTGCTTTAAGAGATAAATATCAGAGACGTCTTTTGTCAGATGTCAAAATTCGGAAGACCATGTACCAGTACACCTAAAATAATACAGGAATGTTGATTGTACAGTATCTCACCAATCACAGTAAAGTTCATACATAAAGGCAAGCCAAAAGCCATAAACTTACCGGTATTACTGTTGCTTTTTACAGTGTACATGTAGTTTTTCGTTGCAAGAAAATGACATTCCAGTAATATTTTTGGTTTTCACAATTTTGTGAGTTTTGCACCAATACTAAGTGATTAGCATACTTGATCATAATAAAGATGAAATTCATATATAGTCTTTAAAATAAAGTCACTTAATTTGTACTATAAGTGTGCAGATCTAAATTTAAAACACAACTATCAGTTGCTCATTGCTTAGTACTTGTGTTATGTTAGTAGTGTAAAGAGGTTATATTATTTATGAAAATTAAATATATTTACATTGTGTGTAAATACATGGAGTTCATTGAAGTTGACAGTGCAAGTGATTTTGGCTTGTTATTACTAGCAATACCTGGCTTTCAATACATTATGCTAATCAAGTTTGGTACCATAGAAAACAGAAAGTCAGCTTGTCTTTATTTTCATTGGGGTTCAAAATGGTACTTATTTATCATTTGGAAAGCATAACTTTGTTTTGTATTAATAATTGTTTCAATGGCTATTTGGAATGCAAGGTTATGACTAAATAAATAACTGTTGTATAGTAAGGGATTATGAAATAAGATTGCATAATTGTAAAGAAAGTTACAGTATGTACAATTACAGTGGAAATTGTTTTGTTATATTTCTTTTGTCTAATTGTTGTTGTTTTACCTCACCAAAGGATGAAAGTAAAGGAGTTCCATTAACTGTCTCTTGCCTGACATAGCCTGTGAGCAAGCAGGGCTGTCACTATTTGCCGGGGATTCCACCCCCATCCCCCCCCTTACCTCGCTTCTTTGACACCCCCGGACACTTTTATTAGAAACAAAAGCAAAAATAGACCCAAAAGAACTTCCTAACTCTTCAATTCCCTGCCTGCTTATTGAATATACTCAGCAGTGATAAATCTTAGTCACAGCTCAGCTGCTATTTCGGGAAATAATGATCGTAAAGGTATGAGCAAGCAACAGACAAAAACAGACACAAAAGCTTACTTCAAAGCTGAAACTTTACTTTTTAAATTTTATAGCAGAGCTCTCATACGCGAAGTGCGCCAGCGGAGCACCATGGGTAAGAAAATGAAGTAATCTACCCATCTGAGAAAATTTGGTAATCACATGTCCGTACACCGCCCCCCGCTGGCTCAAGAGACCGTCTGTCCGCACCACAGGCATACCAATGTAAAATAACTCAATCAACAGGTATTGCAACCCAAATGCAACTTGAGGTTATTTTGGCAGGAAATCACATTGCCACCAGCATCTTGTAAAGCAGAGACAACAAAAGAGTCAATAAAGACGAAAACAGAAAGCAGAAATTGTCTCTGTATCTTGTCTAAAGTATTAAACTTAGATAAATTGTCATGTCCACAAATTTGGAATATAGAGCAAGAGAAAGACAGAGAAAAAGAGAAAGTGGGCGGGAGGCCAGCAAAGCTTAGCAAGTGGGATAAATATAAGAAAAAATAGAGGCCCGAGGATACTCCCCTGAGGGACCCCCACGGACATAGGTAGCGGATCAGACATAGAACCCTTAAAAGTAGTTTTCTGTGAGCGGTTGGTCAGGTAGGAGCAAAACCTTTAAAAGTAGACCACTTAGAAGGCCCTGATCTCAGTATGTTTGCAAGTAAGGTATCAGTAAGGTTAACTAGAGCAAGTTCGCAAGAACGAAAACATCTAAAGCCAAACTGAGAATCAGTGAGAAGGTCATGACAAGTAAGAAAATCATAGAGATTTGAGTGGACGTGGCGTTCAAGAATCTTTGAAACACGTTGTAGTTGTGCAAAACAACAGCAAAGAAATGTACAGAAAAAGTGTGCTCCGGCATTGCATGCCTTCCTCGCTTAGCATTACATGATTTTATATTTTGTTTGAACAAACTATAAATATAATCGAGAGCTTCGCTTTTAGCCCTGGCTAAATCTGTATATTATTAAAATTGAGGACAATGCTCCTCATGGAAGGTTAAATGTGTGGGGGTTTAGTGGTTAAATTGAAAGGACAGCAGTTTTTGGTCTCTGTTTATAGTGAGTGTCTGCTTGTTAGAGTTGTCTGTTTTTAAAACCAAGTTAGCATGGTTGCCCCAATGAAGACATTCGACCAAAGCGAGATGATTAAGTGCATGTACCACTAATCTTTAAATGTTGGGGGTGGAATAAATCACATCCTCCATCATTGTTATAGTTTAAGTTTAATGCACATAAAATTGTCTGTTATTAGTATTATATTTGCAGCCTTTACACAATTTAAAATTTCCTCACGGACACACAAGCTTCATTTCTAGACTTTCTAGACCTCATACAAGGCAAAACGATCTGTAGTAAGTGGAACAAGTGAAACAAAGCGATCGAAATATATTGGTGCTAAAAAAAAATAGTAATAATACAAGGTTATGATAAAATAACTACTGGACTAAGTGAAACCAATACGGCAAAGGCAAAAGAAACAAGTGAGATACTTACAAGATGATAGTGAGAAAAGATGAAACACCAGGATGAGCTAAACAAACTGCATGTGGAAAGAACCGAGGGCAATGAAGAACTGACCCCAAAATATTAACACAGAAGCTAGATATACCATATGCAAAAGGAAAAACCTAACAAGAAGAACAAAGGTACGTGAACAATGAGCGACTAATGAATTAGAAAACTACACTAAAGATGCGAACATGAAAAGAACAAAAACGCTGCGAAAACATAAAAATACTTAGACAAAGCATGAGATTCCTGACACTAACAAGTACAACAAATTATTATGGGAGTTAAAACTTCTAAATGCCCTAGAGTAAAAAAAAAAACTGAAAAAATTCCTTAAAATCTAAATATTCTGTATAACCATTTAAAAAAACGTTACTACCAAAAGTACGTTAGAAACTGCCTACAACACATTCAAAATGTTTTTCTTAAAAATAGGTCAAGTTCCTTTACCTGTACTAAATATGGCTTTGCTATACATTTGTTAAAAGATACCAAAAATGAGTTTAAAAAATTGCCTAAAACATATTTAAAAGCAAGGATTAAAAACTACCAAAAATATGTTAAAAAATGCCTAAAAGCCATAAAGGTGCTTATTAAAAAATGGCTCTCTAGGGAGTTTACAGTTTTATTTATGTCTGTTGTGCACATGCAATTTTATTGGCTTGCTATGTCACATTAGGGCCATTTATACGAGGAAAAATAAGACGCATCTTAAATAAGACACGAACTGTACCATTTATACGAGCATGTCTTATCTAATAAGACACGTCTTAGGTAAGCCGCGTCTTATTTTAGACGAAATGTGCCGTTTATATGGAAAGTTCGCATCTCAAGATGCGTCTTATTTTTCCTCATATAAATGGCCCTATTATGTATTACCTGTTGCGTCTAAGAAAATAGAGAGTGATTACTTGCATCTCGGAAAACATTTTTTATGTACAAGGTGAGGCTTATTTATCTGATTCAACAAATTATGCTTCACCTTCAATTCATATAGCATGTAAATGAGCAACGTTGAAGAAAGTGAAGCATGACTTCTTGCATCAAGATTAATATTTTTTTCGATGCAACAGGTCTTGCTTATTTTTCTGACGCAACAGGTCACAATTACCCTTTTTTGCAAAATGTCTTTAGACTAGCAAGAAAAATAAATTGATGTAATGATAGCAATCCGACCCAGGTTGAACTCAGTATCAATGCCATAATTATGTGGGTTGAGTTTGTTTCTGGTTCTCTCCTTTACTCAGAGAGGTTTTTCCCCCAGTACTTCAATTTTTTCCCTCTTCTCAAAAACCAACACTTCCAAATTCCAATTCAACGAGGAATGCTAGACAAAGGACCACTACATGGATGTGCTACCACTAAATCATTATTATTTATTTCTTTATATGGCAGGTTGATGGTCAAAGGTGTAACAAAGTAACTCATGGCAAACTGATCCCACTGGCAAAGACAAAAGACTCTTTTATTAATTAAAAGCAGCAGCCAGAATGTACATTGTAGTCATTGTTGGGACCCATTTTTGTTAATTAAAATGTGCTCTTGGAAAGTCTGGGATGGCAACTCTGAATAGCCTTAAACATTCTTTATTTATATACATGATAATATTGATATAAAGAATAATTGTCAAAAGAAATTTCTGACCCTGAGGTGAAATATTTGAACATGTTTAATTAAGGATAGACTCTCTATCTTACGTGGATTAAGATATCTTAAGGTGCATCATCATCCACTCACCGCCCTTGTGCAATAAGTTGTAATCAAATCGTGATTGACATGCCACTAAAATTAATAGTACACCGCACTTGAGAACAAATTCAACACTGGAAGAAAGGGGATCGTAAACTGCAGACTGCGACCAAAAAATTTGGTTACAGCAATGGAACCAATGACCAAAAGGAACGTTTCCACTGTTAAAACACAGTGTACAAAGCATTTCTTCTATGGCCCATTTTGTGACACTTGCTATTGTTCTTGAATGATTACACATTTCTTAACTGAGGTGATCATGGAATTAATAACTCCCCTGGTTTCTAACATCAGCTGGTGAGCTACTAGGCTGGCTGCTTAATGGGCTGTTACAATACTTCATAAGGTCAAACCATACATTTCAAAAGCCGTTTCACTAGTAACTGTGTTTACTTTTCACAACAAGGGTACGTGAAATCCTTGACTTCCTTACAGCTTCTTTTTGTTTCTTGTTTTAATAAATTCCTCAGTGTAAATCCAGCTGGCCAGTCCATAGCCAAGTACAGCCTGGAAAGCACCAAGGCCAATTACATACGGCTTTGATCGACCGAGATATGGATTGTCACAGAAGTCTAGAAAAGTCGCGGCAACTAGTTGTTGTAAACTTGGGTTCCTCTTAAAATAAAACAAAGCAACTAGAAATGATGGCAACAGACAGCCATTGAGTACAAGAATTAAAGATCCTCTTATTGATGCACATGCTGCACACCTGAGTTTGCGTGTCTTGATTGGATTAGACACGAGGTAATGCCAGGAAAGCGCAGCAATACTTCCACAGAGTGGAGGGGCCAATATGGCAGCGACTGTACGCGGACGTGATATACTGCTTCCAGCCGAGCGATAAAAGCGCCTAATTATTTCTGTGAATCCAGTGCTTGAGAAACCCACAATTAATGATCCATAATCCCCATTATCCTCTTCAGGGCTAGCTTTTGTAACCCACATTCTCTCAAAAGAGAAAGCCTGCAACACTTTGTACTGTTTTCAACCAGGCGTTCCTTCGCAGTAGCCCAGTCTCTTTCTACAACACAGGACATCCATCGAACAGGATTACCACCATCCAGCGATGGCCGATGGGTTAGAAATAACATAGGCACGTTAAACGTGCATGAGCTATTTTGAATGCTTCAGTGTAACTATAATACTTCGGTGTAACCTTACCAAGAGTGATGATTTGGTTTTTGTGCGAAATTGGGTATTGCGCTACATAAATGAAAACGCGAAACGCTCAGCTGAGTCGATCCTCAACCTATATATTCACTTTCCTCTGTCTTTCCCCGTTACATCTGGTGCAAGTTAAACAAATTGTTAAAGTAAAATAAATTTCTACTCACCAAACGTTGATTAGAAGGAAAACTCCAAGGTTTCCTCGGAGTTTCTTAAGCCAAAATGTGACTCATCGAATACTGAATAGTTACGAAATACCAGGATTTTTATCATTGTGGTAGATGGTTGCATCATCATAATTCACGAGGTTGTCACGTGCGATTCTACTCAGTGAAACAGTCTTTAACTCCGACAACTT